GATAGCCAAACATACCATGATAGCTGAGCTACTGAATATTGAAGATTACTGTCCAGTCGAGGAGCGACACAGAGAAAAAGCCCCATTGGTGACAAACAGTGACTATTCTGTGCAGTGTAACTACAGCTGTGAGTGTGGAGATATCTGTGTGCTCCTAATATTAAGAAAGCCCCAGAGGCTTATGGAGAAAGTCACAGTTTGGGAAACGACAGAATTGTAATTTCTAGTCTTGGTGCTGTTGGTGGTTTTCTGCTCTTTTTTCTCTCCCTTATCTTTATGTGGTCTTTTCTATTTACATTGTAAAAGTTTTCCAACAACTGGAATTATTTCTGGGATGGTACCACAGAATCATTTCTGGATTCGATCCAATGGGTTTTGGTTTGTTGGCTGTTCACTTTTACTCTGTAACTTATCACCCTTAAGACTGGCCTACCTTATTTCCATTTCAATTTTTGCAAATAAGACATTATAATTCAGTACTGATCTCTGTCTTGAATACATCAGGAGAACCAGTCACCTTTATAAATGCATTAATGTTGAATTTCAAGGTCTGTTAAGCCATTATATTCAAATGAAGGCATTTCTAGGGTAATAGCTCAAATAAAACCAAAATGAAAGTTCTCAAAATATGTTTTCAATATCCAGCCCTGTGCAATAAATATTATGCAAGGTGAATGGCTTCTGTCCAAAACTAACATCTCTACTCTTCTGCTAGCCAAAATACACAATATAAAAGTATGCACAGGGTGTGCTTGAAGCTCACGTTTGGGGCAAAGCTCAAAGTTTTCCGTTCACCCTTATCAATAGTTGTGCTTGAAATAAAATAAGGGTAGCTTATAGCACTGTCTGCTGTATTCACTTAGATTGACCACAAACCTGCACAACTTTCTGTGAGAAGCAGAGCAAAGGCTGGAGGTCATGAAAGTCAGAAAGAAGTTATCTGTATTCTCCCAGCCTTTGCAAGACAGTGAGTTTGGATGAAGGATGGAAAAGCTCAGTATTTCATCATGGATTTGAATAAAACTATGTGCTTTTTGTTGTCTAATTATTTTTTAACCTACTTACATGAATTAACTGGTATGACAACAAACAAACTGTGACTCCTAAGCTATGTCTCACTGCAGGCTTGAAGATTGCATGGAACCATCTGCAATCCTGGAGCCCAGGCTGTAGGGCTGGTGGGAAACTGACATGATGGTTTTCAGTCAGCCTTTAATGGGTATTATTGTAACCATTATAATCTGATTGTTTTTTCCAAGGTGAAAAAGCACTGCTTTTTCGTAAGGAAAATGTTGCCTTGTATTTTTTCTGTTTTTCGAGTCTTTTTTAACGCCGATGTTTTCATCACATATTTGGGATTGTTGGTTTGTAGATGACCTAGAAAGAAAAACACTATTTCAAGCAAAATTACTTCTCTGGTTGAAACTGTTGCATCCAAAGGGATTTTTTCATAAGGCTTTGTTGGGGGAAAAGAAAAAATCAACCTTATTAAACAGCATAATGGGTTTTTTAAGATGGACATGGGTTTCTTCCCATATTCATCACATTCATGAAAAGTAGCTGCTTTCAGTGAGCGCAAGGTGTTGTAACTTTTCCATCTAAGTCAGTAGAGGTACCATAGGCTACAAAACGGAGGAATGTTCTAGATGTCTCCATACAGACACAGGGCTCATTGGACTCCTGTGCTCTTGAACAGATTTTGGACAAGTCATAATTCAGCATGGAAATACCAACTCTAAGCATCACAACGGCAAGATGAAGAGGAATCTAGATTTTTTTTTGCCCTCTGGGTTGTCCATCTGCATTAATACAAGTGGTTCAAAGTTCTACAGATAAACAGGGCACTACATCTTTATACCCTACAAACAGACCAAGTTCTATCCTCATTTACGCTGGGAAAGGTTCTAGGTTTGTGTTTATATAAAAAGAGGGAGAGAAGAACATAATTCCAGTGGGAATATTACAGACTTCAAAAGCAATTTTTTATTAAGAAAAAAGGTGTCTTCATTTGTGTTAGCTAATGAATTAATCCCAGGGCAAAGAGGGAAATTGGTAATTTCTAAAGACGTTAAATAGTTTAGTTAAGGATAACAGCAGAATTTAGAGGGTTATCTTGACTAATGACTTATTAAGTCATATAAAAACAACTGGTATTTTAGGTTGTAGCAGCTAACGAGTTAGGAATGCACCTATTTTTCTAATGGGCATAGGCCACAGAGAGCAGGACCTTCTTTACTCAGTGTAAACTATGCTAATGAGATAAAAGAAAGTAAAATAAAGAAGTTTAGCAGAAATGTACTTATTGAACAGCTGCTGTAAAAGGTAATGGTTAAAGAAAGAAAGAAGGCATTCACCTGGTGTCAGTTCAGACATTTGCAGAGTTGTCAGAAAACAAATATAGAAAATATTAATTTATCTGTTTCACCATCACTACTGATTAATAGGGATGTTATTAACATATACAACAAGAAAAATAAGTTTACCAGTCGAATAAATACATTTTTTCTTTTTCTTTTTTGTGTTTTTTTTTCTTTATATGAACATGTGTATTTTACAAAACCCCATAGCACTATGGGAAATAAAGATCCTTCTACAAAAAGAAGATGTAAGTCAGTGTTACAATAAAGCTTTAGAGTTTCAAAATGTATCTGGGCAAAGAGACAAAATCAGCTAGAAGGCACTACTGAGTCACTGAGAAGGTCCAGATTGTAACTGTTGTCTTAACCTCCAATTCGTTCATAAATTATCTCTCTTCTCTATTCCAAGGGACTGCAAGTAATACTAATGTGGTCAGGAAGGCTGCAGTAGATTCAGGAGTAAAGAAGCTATGGCCACGCAGAGCAGAGAAGTTATTGATGGCCATAAAAGGCTGGCTGAAGCTGAGCTTGTAGGCTGAGGCTGGGATGGGTGATCTGAACGTGGTCTCTGATCCAGCTGGTTTGAAATCCAAATGGGAGGTTTGACTGTGATGTAGCCATTGGTTATCCTGATATAGGAAGGCAACGTGGTGGTGCTAAGAGAAAACACAAGAGAAGGAAATTAAACTCTGTGAGCTGTCACTCTATGTAGTATTAACAACAATGACAATCACCATTATTATTATTGTTTGCACACATTAGACATGCAGGGAGAGCCCCAGGGGCTAGTAAGTGTGATGATTTAGAAACAGCTGATTCAGCTTCTGCCTGTTGGTAGAATACAGCCAAAGGAGGCATCACTCTTGGTATGTCTAACATATTGCATTCATTTTTTTCAGCATTACTGGTCAACATCAGAGACTGTGATAAACATATCTTTATGCTGACCCAGGATGACATCATTCTTATGTTCTTAGGTACCTTCTTGCCACCAACGGTCTGAAAATTAGTCAAGTCTCAGAGACATGACTGTCTGACCATGGACTGGATACTAAGTACAGGAGGGGATACAGAACATGTCCTTTCCCTGTTTCACAAGCCATAAAGAACTTCTCAGGATCCCCTTCCACAACTGATAAGCTTGAGCACAGGAGACAAAGCAGCTTCATTTCTTTTCTCCTGGCTTTAAAACATTTTGAATTAAATCACAATGCCAAAACCAGACTCAATGTGAGGTTTCCCTGTGCATCTGCTTCAACAGTGGTGCGATTGCTTATTGATTGTAGCTTGAGTTAGTACTTTGATCTGAATTTGCAGGCTGGAATTCATCATGATTCCCATGACGCTGCAGGTCAAAAAGGCCCATTTACAATTGATTTGAAAGTTTTAAGCCGTAATCTCCATTTCATAAAATGCTTCCATTGCATCCATTACTGGATGATCCGTAATCCGCTGGTTGTCACAGAGCAGCACAACCATACATGCAAAATGTGCAAGGTACATTCTGGACTTAAAAACAAGGCATTCTGCTGGGGAGCAAGGACAGAAAAGACAGGTTCCCCTCAAAACAAGATGCGACACTAATACCTGCAGATTGTCTTATGTTACTTTATGAATGCTCCATAAAAAGGATTTGGAGGCACTAAAAATGACTGCCAAATAATTTCTTATGGGATAAGAAGCTATGCAGTTTTCTAAATAATTAGCTCTGGTATCTGAGATGCTGACCTTGGAAGAAAAGGCTGCATCTTGCCTAGTATCAGATAAAAGGAACAATACCTTGCTCTAGAATCACACACAGTAATAGGATTTAGTAGCATTGAAAGCTTTTGTTTTTTTTTCTGTCTAAGCAACACCAGAGAGGGCTTTTAGCTCAGATGCTTCAAATGTGTTCAGTCAACCACAAACTGTGAAGAGATCCGAGTCCATCCAGGACAGTAAATACTGGTAAATACACACACACGTGGGTCTACATCAAATCCAATAGTCAATCACTGCACCTTACACTTCACACTGGGTTTGGGGATAATTAAATTCATTTCTTCCCTCAACCTTTATACTGTCACCACATTTTCTGGGTGGGATAGTTGTTCTGCAGCTAGAAGTGATCTTAACTAATGTGCAATGAATAAGAGTAAAAAAACCAGGCAGCCTTGAATTAAAGACATGGGAATTACTTCATGCGAGTAGATAATCCATCTAACTAGTATTAGAACTTTGACAGTAAGAAGTGGTGCTTGTTCCAGAGGAACAAATTTTTGTAAAGAGAGAATTCTGAAAGCAAGCCTTGCTTGAGACAGCTCTTATCTAAACTCCTGTGGTGAGCTGTTGGTTTATGTCTTGAACTGATGATGCAAGACACATAGCTTTAGAGCTTCTTCTGTACTGCATCAAAACTACTGCAGTCACTTAATACAAAGAGTTGATTTGGGATAAGCTGATGCTGCTGTTTAAAACTGGTCCAGCTTTTTTGAGCAGCTAATTCAGTGCTGTCAAGAATGACACCAGATTAGGCACTCTGTATCCAAGCACCAGTGGTATATGTAATGTAAGTATGAATGGTCTTCCTACAGTGAATACAAAGCATCATTAAAGCATATTTCTAAGAAAACTAGGTACTAAATGCTCTGTGTAATTCAACAGAAATGCAGTCATGCTCCAACTTCTGATCCAGATCTCATTTATCCTGTTGAGTGATGCTGTGGTACACAGACCTGCCAACACCGACTGTGGGATCACAGTTTCGGGGGATATTCCCTGTACCAGTTTTCCCTAAGGTAAGTGTGGGTACGTGCTTGTACTCATCTTTTCGTTACTGTTTGTCATTTTTACAGAACTACATCATTTAACCCTAAATTACGTTTTAAACAGCAAGAAGGGTCTGTTTTCCAATGTCAATTTAAAAAACACTTCCAAAATGCTGTTCAGAATTGCAGTTGGAATACCCTGCTTCTGACACATTCTCTAGGCTTGATCCTCCAGTGAGATGACTGAGATGTCCCTAGTGCAAACTGCCTTTCTGCACCTAAGGGATGCACTGTGTGAGATGCTCAGTGGGGGACACAAGCTGGCCAGGGAAACCCTGGAAGAATCACGAGCCCATTTATCAGCCAACTGCATCTAAGCGCTTCCTAAAGCAGCCTTAAATCAACATTTCACATTTCACACTTCAATATGATGTTTCCATTTTCTAGTCAACTGCCAGAACCATATTATTATTATTATTATTATTATTATTATTATTATTATTATTATTATTATTATTATTATTTCTTCCTTGAAAACATGTACTTTTGGGGGGAACAACCACCCCACTCCCAATTTACTTACAAGACCTGAAAGACCTGAGAATTTTTGACCACCTTTCTTCTCAGTCAGTGAGGTAATTTTCTGTTTTCAAGACATTTGATTTCTATAAGGTGTCTTTGTCAAGGTAAAATGCTGTTAGGTGGGGGTGTTTGTTTTTAAGAAATCCTTAAGTGCTTTATAAGAGAAGAACAGTGTGTTTCCATTAACACGTACAAAGCATGCTAATAGCAAATGAATCACAGTTTATCCATGTAAGGCATTTTCTCAAATGCAACTCTCCTTCTAGCCAACTTTCAGCGTGGTTTAGAGGTGTTTCAAGAGAATGATCCCTTTTACCAAATGCTACGAGATTCCTTATAAACCCTTTGGTCTAAGTTTGTGACTAGGCTGTTTCTATACTGAATGGGAAGAGAAACCTCTCCAGAAGGTGGTCCACCTCATTCCAGTCCAGGTCTCTAGGGGGGACTTACTCTTGCTTAGGGTCCTTATCTTCCTAGGGTTACAGAGACAGCCAGGTTAGATTTCAACCTAATCTTAGAGGTGGTTCTGGTGTTAGGAGACAACTTCTTCCCCAAACTCCCTCTGAGCATGTCTGGTTGTGCATATAGGATCTCACTGACCCCCATTCCTCCCTAAGGACTAAAGCAGCAGCAGCCCCCTGAACTCAACTGGAAACCTTCCGCTGTCCTCAAGGAAGTTTTGAGCATTCCTGAAATGAACATCAAGAGTAATATAAATCACTCACAGATCTGAGGGATAATAGTCTAAATTATTATCACGCCTTCCCTCGCCAGCTCAGGATATTCTGCATTTCAGTCTTTCGTGTCTGATAAAAATACCTTTAACAAAACATTCCACACGATCCGTGGTGAACAGGCAACCACTGGTTCCTCTGTTCATACCTCTCTTTTTCGCTTCTGTGTATGGGATCGTTTTAAGAATTTGGAAGGCTCCAGGTATCTTTTAGCCAAATGACCTGCGGTATCATATTCATGAGCTCGTACTTTTGATCAGATTTTCAAATCAGCGCATTAGTCATACATTGTCTTACTATCATTAGGACGTGTAAAACTTTCCCCAGAAACGGGGCCTCAGGCACACGCTTTGTCAACAGACCCCACTGAATCCAATTACATGATTCAAGTTCTCTATGCTGGGGGCATGCTGGAGCACCTCCATGATTTGGGAGCACTTTAAAACTGGAAAATAAAACGAACGTACATGCAACCCTTTGGGGGAATTTCTGCTCTGGTTTAGCTTGTGAGGACTTTGCAAGGAGCTCACAAACTAATTTTTAGCATGACTTGGTTTATTCATATAAGCAAAGCTCATCTGACCACATGTGGTGGAACAGTAGAAGATAGGACCAAGAGGGGCTTTCTGGCCCATCTGCCCCAAAGACAGGAGCAAGAGCTAAACCTCCTCACATTTACGTCTAATCCAGTCTCGAAGAAATCCTATGTGGAAATGATAGCAATTCCAGAGTCTCTGCAGACATCTATCCCAGCATTTCCCCATTCCTGACGTCCAGAATTACTGCCTGATGTTTCACCAATCATCTCCCTTGCTACAGTGCAAGTCTGTGACTTCTCCTGTCCCCATGGACAGCGTTATTCCTTTCCTCCTCTCAGCATCCTTCCATGTGCTTTGAAGACTTAACCATGTTTCACCTCAGTTTTCTCTCCTTTAAACAGTTTCCTCTGCTTTTCTTTGCAAGTCCTCAGGTTCCTTCCCTCATTCTTTCATCTGCTCTCCTCTGGCTCTGCCTAATTGCTCAGTATTCACTGGAGTGAGATAGATGCCCTCAAATGGGAACAGTAGGTCTAGCTGAGATATTGCCAGCCCAATGCTTTGTGCAGTAGGTACCACTGGTTCTTTATTTGCAGAGCAGAAGAAAGTGCATGAAAAACATGCAATCTGAAGGAAGATGGTCTTTTCACAACTCTTTACCCTTAAAGTCCAAGCTGCCTTTATGGTTAACTGTTCTGAAGCTCCTGGAAAACTGATGGTGCTCCGAGGCAGTGAGGACTGACCGAATAATGGTGGTATTTCCATGCATTTTTAATCTGGTGCCTCGCCTCAGTCCAAACATGGGTTTCTGTTCAGGGAGGAGGAAGTGACCCCTTCAAGCAGAACTTACAAAGTGTTTGGGGATTTTTCTGGATCAAAGGACCTACATAAACACATGACAACTATTTTTAATAAACGTAAACAAATGTGGACTGAGACAGCCCTTCTTACAACAGCATCTGATGAAAGAAGCTTATCAAGACAACGTGCCAGCAGAGATTGAACCCTGAAAAAATGCATGTTTCAACTGAATGCCTACAGAGCTAGTAAACCGAAAGAAAACTTTTGAGTAAATACAATAATGGCTGTTTTGCATTTGTGATTTGATGTTAACCTTATGATGGTTAGGGGTTTCTTAAGTGATATTAAGCATATGCTTCCTGTTTCTTTTCAAACAAATTTTGCCCTATTCTCCACCCCCCCCCCCCGCCTTCATTTAATGAACAGATGTGAGAGTTGATCACATTATTTTTCTGGTGATCAAAACTAATGTTCTGTTAGTGAAGACAATTATTCCTGGAACTAACCAGACCTATTTATGTCACCAGAAATTATCCATCAAGACTTGAAAAATACATCTGCTCTGGAACCAACCCGTTGCAGTACGTAAACAAGCTGGCTGGAAACAAGCCTGACCACAGGTATGAGAGAAAAGAATAGGTGCTCGACCAAGAGGAAAAGGAGTATGAAGGGGACAGAGGGGGAATCACACTAGAAATAACTCACAAGGATTTAACCTTAAGAGCAACTTCTTACAGAGAATGTGAAGTCTCTATGTCCTGAAATTTTCATGTTATTATTTAATGTGCCTGTTACATAATGGACATATTTATATGAAATAAATATGAAATTTTCAGGTTATTATTTAATATGTCCATATGGACATCCCATAAAGGTATTCTTTAGATCAGCATAGGCTCCATTCCCCCCAGGCTCCATCACTGATTTCTTTATGGACACTGTTCTTGCAGCCTGAGGGATAAATCCTGCAGGATGCTGAGTCTCTGGGTCTCAAACTAGCAGGATGCTAAGCACTGCAAGCACATGAGTTCTTCCAGCAAGGCTAGTTTTCACATACCTACAACTCAGCATGTCCTGAAGTCCTTTGTGGGAACAAGGCCAAGAGGCTCATGGTCTCGCAAGGTTCAGTTCATTAAAAAAGAAACAATAATCCAATCTGGATCCGATTAAGGAATCCAGTTTTGGACCAGAGGAGGCCACTGCTTATTTGCAGTAGTGTAGTAAACTGCCTTTGCATGTCTGAACAAGTAACCAATATCACACTCTGGTTTGTGGCTGATGGGATGAGCCACAAAAAAGAAGAGCCTTATCTCTGCTAGTTTCCCTTTACCCCAGGGTTATTGGGAGCCCAGATCTTTGGCCATTTCCCACACTGCAAGCATCCACTCTCTGTGAGGCAGCTGCAGCCACGCTGTCAATAGAGGGATCAGGTAACCACACCAGGAGCATTTCAACAACCCGTCGCTGTTGATCTGAGCTTTCCCTCTCATGAGATTCAAATAGGAACCATCTTTCCACCTGAGAGGAATGTCAAGCTCTGATCCAGCCTTATTTCAATGCTTTGGTTCTTCTGGAGACTGACAGCAAGCAGTTCCCCTCCTTAAAGTGGGCATCAGTGAACCTCTGACCCCAAAAGGGGCAAAGGGCAGTGCATGTTTGCAGATACAGGTCTGCTCCTCCAGCCCTGCTCCTTGTTAGGACCATGTCTGCCATGGCTTATCTCTAGGAAAAAGGAGAGGATATGGAAGGAAAAGAGGGAAAGGGAAGCACAAGGTTCACCAGGCATTGGCTTTGAAAGGGCAGAAAGCCGTGAACTATCACGCCAGGACCCTCAGCCACACTGTCACTGTGTACTGAAGTGCAGGAAGGGTGGTGGTGGTGGTGAGCGGGACACTGCACACAAGGATGGAATGCTTGGGGGGTTGAAGGGAAGCGATGTGAGGCACCTTCACCTCCTGAACATGCAGGACCCAGGCTGTCAGCAGCACCTGCAGAGGGTGCCATCAGAGTCAAGGGCTGTCCTTTAAATGCCCTGGTCTATAGCAGGATTTAAAGGATGAGATCACTGTAGCTATGTCAAATGCAGGCTTGTAGTCAGAGCTATTCTGTTGTATTCATGAAGAACAAAATGTCTCCAGAGGACAATCCTTTCCCCCCAAAGGCATGTCCCTAAGGTGGGTGAGATGAGCTGCTTCTGAAGATCTCTATCTCTGGAATTCAGGTCTCCTGAACCCCAGCCAAGCTCTTGCCCCAGTGAGAGCTTTGACTGGTAAGGATCGGTTCCTAAACTGGGACGGGGCCACAAGGTGGGGAAGAGGAAAACTGCTGATTCTGCAATGAAGAAAAGCAGTAGCTGGTGGGGATGCAGCTCACCTCTGTGGTTGTGGAGTAGCCCCCCAATCACAGGCATGGCAGGACAGCAGCCTGCTGTCCCCTCTATGGGGTCTTGGCTCTGAGTGACATGAAGGAGGAGAAGGTGGCTCACTTGGATCAGGGTCTCGAGGGGGGCCATAATGGTGTAAGCAGGAGGAGGCTCAACACTGAAATGCAGCTGGGAGATTTGATTTTCACCCCTGTGTCACCCACCGAGCCACCATCAAAACCGTGTTAAATCACTTCACTTCTATCACTCCCCTGACTGATTTGAGTCAAGACCCTGAAGTGTTAGCGTGACACCAGCAGCATTAACCCAAAGTGAAGTGTTTTGCAGGCTCTCGTTGTGATTTGCAGCTCCCGATTGCCTGGGCCACCTGCAAAAGACCTCCATGATGTCAAATTCAGCCCCCCATGACAACAACCTGCAGTGAGGCTGAGCACTACAGGAACATCCCAAAGGTGCGTTGTTATGGCAAAGCGTGTTATTTGCTGTGGGGACAGAGGAAGAAATGGGGATGGGGATGGGATGGAAGGGAAGGTATGGGATGGGGGCAATGGAGACTGCTGCATCAGAGACAGGAGTAAGAGCAACAGTTTGCTGTTACAGCAATGCAGCCTGAAGGTCCCCCAGGCATGGGGATATAGTGACGTGAAGGTGGACATAAGGATGCACCTAGCAGGTAGGGAAGGAGCAGGTGAGAAACAACTCCAGCACAGCCCAAGGGCCATTTTCTGAAGTGAAATTCCAACATGCAGGAATGTTTACTGCACCTCACAGTCAGGCTCAGCTTTCCCCCATCCCCAGAGGAGGTTGTGTATGGCCCTTTTCAGCCTCCTGCCCTGAAGTCCTTCAGGAAACCTTGCAAATACAAGTCCTGCACCCAACCATGTGGCAGTGGCAGAATCAGGCCCTCCACTCCTTTCCAGACAACTGCAGAATGGTGTAAAAACACAGAGCGTTGTAAAAACCAATAACCTTTGAAGCACACCCTCTGAGTAATTACCCCATTCCCATTTAATGACTTAAAGATGTTATATTCCTCTCTGATTTGGCAACAACAAAGATTTCGACCTTATTAAAACCAGCCCATCAGGAAACTACATGTCATCCTTTTAAAAAAGGAAAAAAAGAGGGAAAAAAAATTCTTTCAAATCCCTGTGAACAGTAATTCAAGATACTGTAGCTGAAGACCCATGATTTGTTGCAGAGTGTCTGGGTGGTCCTGAGGCAGGAGATGACAACATTAGCTCTTTCCTTTGCCCTTCTAAGAAATGCTTTGATGATTCTCTAATATCCTAAGAATATCCCCCTGCGATTCTGCACTGGGACGAGGCAATCACAGAGCCGGGATAATGCATCCCAGTTTTACCCAGGGCCTGGCCCTTGCTAAGATGGGATAGCTCAGAGCCCTTTGTTTCACCAGTTCTGCACTGACATCTGAGCCAGGATGTGTCCATGATAGTCTAAATAGTGATGTGGGCTCAAAAACATCCACAAACCCCCCACCCACCGCACACATCTGGCTGTGTACCTGATTTCTATGTGCAATTAAGGCACTCATCATCACGGCTCAAGTAACCAAGTGCTTGTTTCACTGGTCCTTGGACAGATAATGACTGCAGTTCTTACAGCCAAAGTAAGCAAGAACATCAAGGGTGCATACACAGATGGGCTTTGTATTGTAAAAGTCTTGCCAGTGATGCAAGATGTGAAGATTTTTGAGTAACCTGTTGATATACAACATGTAAAGAGTTCACTTGATGGTGCTGCAATCAGGTGGTTTTGAACCAGATCCCAAGCATGAGCAGAATATCTACCTTTTATCTGTATTATGCAAACAGCCTGCTCTCCCCAGTACAGCCCCACACGCATTTTTGGAGTGGTCAAAATCATAACCCATATTTTATGTCTTGGGCTCAACCTTTCGATTAATTAGAACCAGAGTGATTCGATCTGCCCTCTCCTACGTGCACTCAAGTGTTTGTTTGGCATTGTGTGGGCCCTATGGCCCAAATACTTTTTGCAGATGCATGGAATTAACCATGCATGTTTAGATGTGCTTGGGGAACACATATATTCATAGGGACGTATATAGCTGACCCTGTCACCTTCTTGTTAAACACTGTAAAAGGTATCAACTTTCCCCTCTAGATTTTAAAATTTAGAATAGGCAATAGTGGGGCAATACCTAAAACATCCTGTCAAATTAAGTGTTTTCTCCAAGACACAATTATTTCAACTAAGAAGATGCTTGTGCAATGTATTAAAGAACAGAAAGAACAACGAAAACATAAACTGGCTTAAATGGATGTCCAATATGCTGCATTTTTCCATTTGATTTTAATTTTCTTTTCCCTTCTCCCTGTTCTTTTTTCCATCCCCATGTAACAGTTTTTCTCTCCGCTTAGTCTGTATCACATTTTTCTCTCTAATGCACTGGGCTCACTTTCCTGCTTGTATTTTTCCACAGTCTCTCTTAGTAGGAATAATTAAGATAGGGTCAGATCTTTGAACCTGTTATTTGGAGCAGGATTAAGTTCAAGCTTGTTCCACTGAATAAAAGCATTGGCTTCTTTTCCTTTCCAACAGACTCAGTTGCAAAATGTAGGAAGGCTCATAGGGCACATCTACCATGCAGAAATGCCAAGGACATCAAGCTGCTTCATTGCCTACAAGGTTTGCGTTCCTCCTGCTGCTCGCAAAGCAACTACAGCGATACCAGCCACAGCACAAACTCCTTCTGCCCAAGCACTTCCAAACCATCTGACAGCCTGGCCATGAAAAGCTGCTTGCTGTCCTGTGGCACTGGGAAGGCTGCAAAACCTGGATGTCAGAACCTCATTCTGAAGTGTCTCTGCAGAACTGAGCTTCTGTGAAGACCATTTGCACCATGTCCCTCCACGGTACTGCTAACGTGAGGCATCCCTGACACCCAGCAGCTAACAGGCAATAGGCTTGGCTCCCTCGCTTTCCCCTATCATGGGCCCAAGCCGCAAGGTATAATGCTTACTTTGTTCAGTTAAGTTATTCAGGAATTGTAAGGAGGAGATGTGAGTGAAGTCGGAATTTGGCCTGGCATTTTCATAATTGCAGGAACCCAGCTTTTATAGCATTAAAACCATATGAATTTAAATAAATCCTACTTCTCCCTCATCCCAGTGAGTAACTGGACTTGGACCACTGCCGCCCTTTGGAGTCCTGCTGGGTTTTCAGCACACAGCGCAGCCTGTCCTGCTGGGGCTGTCAGAGAATCAGATTTCCTCCCATTTCACTCTACAATGAATCTGACTTCTTAGATAAACCCACTACCACAAAATAACTGTGGGTAAATCCCTCTTATAAACTAACTGCCCACCACAACAATAATGTCATCTTCCTCCCTCTCATACTCTTCTTCACTTAATTTCACAGGGTGTGACACTCACTAGTCAGAAGGGGAATGGCAGAACCCGAAGTAAATCCTACATCCCTTATCCTATTCCTCTGGGCTGGCATTGACATTGTTGTGTGTTTGCATTCCCACTGAATTTTAAAGGCATTTATTTTTCGTTATGGTAACTCACTGGAGGAGGAAGTTTTCAACATTTTCGTGGATTTTATGTAGCTCTGGTAAGTCTACAGCTTTACCTTGGGGAACAGCAGGTCTGCAATCTTTCAGTGCTTAGATACTGCTGGATATGAATATCACTCAAATATACAGTAAGTCCAGCTTAAGGTTGTAGTGTTTGAGAAGAAGGTTTGTTCTGGCTTTTAGATGGTAACTGATCTCCTACCACATCTGTGTATCCCTAGGGTAGAGAGGCAGACAGCCATCAACAGAGCTAGCAGTGTCCTTTCAGAGGTCCCATCTTCAACCCAAACCCAGCTTTTCTGCTGACTCTATCAACTCTTCTCCCTGAGAGGTGGAGTGCAAGGAGAAGCCATGGCACGGATGGACCTCTGCCGCTTCCATAGCCTGAGCAGTGAGGGAATGACTTGCTCCTGCCTTAACAGCTCCAGACCTTGGAGAGGGACTTTTTACAAGGACATGTAGTAACAGGACAAGGGGGAATGGCTTTAAATGGAAAGAGGGTAGATTTTAGATTTAGAGTAGAAAGAAATTCTTCACTATGATGGTGCTGAGGCGCTGGCACAGAGTGCCCAGAGATGCTGTGGCTGCCCCATCCCTGGCAGTGTCCAAGGCCAGGTTGGATGGGGCTTGGAGCAACCTGCTCTAGTGGAAGGTGTCCCTGCCCGTGGCAGGGGGTTGGAACTGCGTGAGCTTTAAGGCCCCTTCCAACCCAAACCACTCTATGATTCTATGAAACCTCATGTGCACAAGGGTCCAACCTCCCTAAGGGGTCAGTGCTGGCTGTACCAATGTAGGGAGAAATTCAGTTCACTCTGAAGATGGAAACAGCTACATTTTGTCAGCTGAGTAGTGCTGTGAGTTGGGAGTCTGAATGTGGAGCTGGCCACCACCCTGCTCGATAGGGAAAACACACTTGCTGAAGGTAAAAATCTGCATCAAGAACAGCAATTTAGGGAGCACAGGTGCTTTACTATCCACTGCTGTGTTTACGGAATACAGCTCACCCTGGGCATGAGCCCACTCAGCGCTTTTTACACTGTCTGCAAGTACAGTCAGCCTTGCAAGTATAACACAAACCATGCTCTTCACCCACCCCAAACAGCAGGGTAGAAGTGCTACTGTGTATTGAATTTTCTCTGCCTGTTGAACCAGACAACTTATTTTTCAGCTGAGTGAACATAAAGAGTTTTGTAGAGCTGTGTTAAAGTGCATTTTCAGATGTGGAGGAACTCCCTTTACCTGCTGGTACTCAGTGCATTTTCCCTTATCTATTTGATGGGAGCCAGAAATAGATTTTTTTTTGCTGTGCGATAGACAATATGCCATGAGGAGTCATAGCTAAAGGCTCCAAGGAGCCAATCCTCGCAACATCTGGCTAGGATAACCCTGGATATGGAAAATATAAATGTCAAGGCTTATA